GTTATCAAAGATCTACTTAAAAGGGAAGAAGAATAGTATATATTTCTGTTTTTGTTTTTGTTAACAGCTTTATTGAGGTATAATTAGCATACAATAAATGGTACATATTTTAAGTGTACAATTTGATAAATTTTGACATATGTATATATCCTTGAAGCTATCACTGCAGTCAAGATAATGAACATCTCCTTCACCCCAGAAGTTTCCTGTGCCTTTTTGTAATCTATTCCTCTCATCCCCGCCTCCGCATTTATCCATCCTCAAGCAATCACTCATGTGCTTTCTATCATTATAGATTATTTTGTATTTTCTAGAATTTTATATAAATGGAATCCTACAGTATGTATTCTTCCTTTTGGGTTGGCGTAATTATTCTGAGATTAATCAATGTTGATTTGCGTATCAGTAGTTCATCCCTTTTTGTTGCTGAGTAACATCCATTTTAAAGATACAGCACAATTTATTTGTATTTAGTTCATTTGTTCATCTGTTGATAGACTCTAATACTTTCATATGTCATATTACATTTATATGTCATAGTCTTTCCACATTCCTGTGAAAGATACATTTTAAACCATGGATATAACCAAGCAAGGCCACTCTATATGTCAGTACCCTGAGATAATTTGGCCTCTAGATGTCTGTCTTTTGGAGTGTTCATTTTACTTATTTTTCATCATATAAAAAATTGGAATATAAAGAGGTAAATATGTGGTGGCATAAATGTTTTTCTACCCATGAGACTCAATTATATTATCTAAATACTGTGACATTTTTGGTGAGCTTTGGTTCAAGGAGCTTTGGAAGATTTTATGTAGAAACTTCTCCAAGGTAATATAAAGCATATTATTTACCCAGATGCCCTTATTATAGCTGTTTTAAGCAGGATCAAAGTCCTCCTTTAAACTTTCTTATTTTAAAGACATCCTCATTTACAATTCCTCTGATTCTTGCACAATTCCTTTGAGACCTGTGTTTGCATCAAAAGAGTTTGTCCCTCTCTGCCAGTTAGAACTTTTTATGATGTAGTAATGGAAAACCCAATTCAAAGTAGTTTAAGCTAACTCTTAAGTAAAAGAAATGTACTGACCACTGTCACTAAACAGTTGAGAAATAGGTGAGGCTTGACCCAGTAATTAAATATTATAAACAGATTCTAGTTTTCCTTCTCCACTTTATGGCTCTGCTCCCCAATATTTGCTCCATTTAATTCCCCTGAACTGTCCCAAGATGGATATCATGTTATTACAGGGCTACATGCTTTCTCATTTATGTTAAGTAGGGAACACTGGGTTTTCTTCTTTAGTAGTACAAACTAAAAATTCTAGACTTGTTTCTTTTTCTCCAGTTGGCCTTACTTAGGACAGAAATCCTTGAATCAACCACTAAGGCCAGGGAGATGAGTTAAAACCAATCAGGCACCTCCCATAAGGCTAGGGGAGGTCTATCATATGGAAACCAAACAAATGAGGAAATAAGAGGGGGAATGTAGGATAAGGAGTCACTTGATGAATGTTCAGTAGACCTGTCTTCAGTACACCTGGGGTGATGTCTTCCATTTGGCATCATCCTTACCCTGTTGACTATTTTTCCCCCTCAAGCCCTATACACATACTGAAGTTTTTCATGTTTTGGAAAATAAGTCTTCACTTGACCTCAAACCCTCCTGTAATTCCCTTCTTATGAAGAGCTATGGATGGGTAGTCTCCAACTTACTGTCTTTAGTTTTTCATAGAGATTCATTTGTCCATTTTCTAAAATAACATTTCTGCCATCCCACTAAAACCAGTTTGTCTGTAATCTTTAGGGAATTCCATGTGGCCAAAGCCAACGGATACTTTGGGGATCCAAGTGTTGGCTCTACCAATCACTGTCTGTATGACCTTAGGCCAATTCTTCAACAGTCTTCATTTCCTCATCTTTTAAATGAGGATGATAGCAACAATAGCAACAACATAAAAAATAATTCTCACAAAATTATAGTGATGATTAAATGAATTAATACAAGTAAAGAACTTAAAACAGAATAGATATTCAAATAAATGTTAGTTATTATGATTTTTATTGTCTCTTGTGACATCTGTGACATTTAAAAGTGTTAACCACTCTTGGGTTTTTGAAAATCTTTTTTTTGTTTGTTTTGTTTTGTTTTATGGAAGTATACTTTCCTGATTGTTCTGTCCTACCTCCCTAGCCTCTCATTCATCTTACTGGCTCCTTTTGTTTTATTCAGTCTTTGTATGTTATATTTTCTAGAACTCCATTCTAATTCTTTTGTTCTGCTTAATCTATATGCCATACTGAGAATGCATTCACATTGATAGCTTCAGTTTTTAGTTCTCTGCAATGATTTCCCATCCTGGATTTCTCTCTTTCAAAATACATAGCTATGCTATAGAACTTTCAGTACAGCTGACTAAAATGATAGTCCTATGCGGATGATCCTCAAAACCTCCGACTGAATAAGTCCAAGATCGCACTCATTATCTTCTCCCTGCTTGTCCCATATTCTTCAAGTATTCTTTAGTTAGACAGTGAATAACATCACTATCTAACAGGCATCAAAGCAAAAGCAAAGGAATCTCTCTCAGACTACTTTGTTTCCACAGTACTTAGCATAATGTCTAGTATCTAGTATATGATAAATAAAATGGTGATTGGCTGGCTAGATGGATGGATGAGTGGGTAGGGATGCATGAAAGTACAGATTGATTGCTGAGTGAGTCTGTAGCCTGTATATGTATTTATTTAAGTCTTATGAGAATGTAAAGTTAAAGGTCAAGAGTGAGAAAGCACATCCTCAGTGGAATGCACACCACAATGAACCATTTTATCTTGCTGCGTTACAAATAGCTTGCCATGTTTTTTGTTTGTTTGTTTGTTTTGTTTTGTTTTTTAAAGATGACCGGTAAGGGGATCTTAACCCTTGACTTTGTGTTGTCAGCACCACGCTCTCCCAAGTGAGCTAACCAGCCATCCCTATATAGGGATCCGAACCCCTGGCCTTGGTGTTATCAGCACCACACTCTCCCAAGTGAGCCACGGGCCGGCCCCTAGCTTGCCACTAGGCATTCTAAAAAAAAAAAATTGCTAGCATAGTAAAATTTCACTAATTAAGGTTAATTAAGGTGAAGGTGAATAGAAATCAGAGACTATTTTTTTAAAAGTCAATTTTGTTATTTTCAAATACATGCATTATAACAATAGAGTAAGAAGAAAAGGTATCAAGTATGCATACTAAAGTAGTACTGTGCTGTAAACATTTTGTTTGTCCATCCATAGACAGTCTTTGCCCTTCTTTACCCTAACTCTCTATTCTGGGAGGCTCTCCTGTGTCATTAATGGGCTCTCGTGCCCTCTGGCTTTCAGTTGGTTTAGGCACTGGGGAACTCTAGTAGGAAATTGAACAGAGAGGTTAAAACGAGGTCAGGATACTTATCCTCCTAATTCCCTCCCCATGAGGTAGCCACAGGCTGACTGTGTCCCTTGACAAAAGGTTACTGCTCTTCTCAACTGGTTTCTCATTATGATTCTCTGCCTCTGGCCACTTCTTCCTCCCCTCATCCCTTGGGCTAAGATGTAGTAACAGCTCCATGGCTTCAAGGTTCTTGTATTTTCTGTGATGGTTTTCTTGCATCCTTCTTATGTTGTGATTTATTCCTTTTGTAGATAAACTTCTCAGATTATCCAGGCCTGATCACAGAGGAATATGTATATCAAGCTACAATATTCCAGATGACTGTGGAGAGACATTGAAGGTTTTAAATGAGGGAAGGAGGTGATCAGATTTATATTAGTTATTAATTTTTCTACAGTGTAGAATTTGCACTGTGAAGAAGAGACTTGAGGCAGGAGAACTATATAGCCTATCACAGACATGAAGGCAAAAAGTGGTAGAGCTTTGCAATGGCAATAGAAAGAGAGAAGTTGTATATGAGAAAAATTTGTAACTAATCATATATGGTGTTGGGTATGTGGTGGTATTAGGGAAGAATCTAGAATGTCAGTTTTCATGCTTAAGGGATAAAGTGTATGGTGGTTTTGTTGTTTTTTATATTATTTCCATTTCATGAAACCAGCTTAAAGCAGTTGTTTAGAAAAAATAATGTTCTCATGTTTATTATTAATATTCTAAAATAAAGACCAGAATCTATAGGGCATCTCCATCTTAGATTAACAATGATACTAAAAATAGCCTCAATATAAGCCAGGCTTACAGAATGTACCCAGTATGAATTCTTAGATATTGTGGAAAGAAGTTTCCAATATACCTAGATGCTCTTGGGTTCCCTCAGAAGAAGACCCTAGAAAAAGGTTTTGAGAGCAAGTGGTTTATTTAGAATGAAAGAGAATCATTTGCAGGAAAGTGGGGAAGTGAGACAGGTAAGGCAAGGCAGCCAATAAAGAATGGTGCATTATCAAGCAAGCTACTACTGGAACCTTGTAAAACACATGCCTCAGAGTTATCTCCCTTAGTACCAAGGGAACTACAGTATCCATACCCCAATTCCTACCATCAGTCATTAGTTACAGATTGCTCCTGAGAGGTGATGGGTCAGCATCAATTCCCTAGTGTGTCTGGCCTGCCGCTTAGATGGTAAAGCAAACACTTGTGGCAACAGAAAGCCACATGAAATGCCAATGCTGATACTGGAAATCAGTCTGATAGGCACTGAAGTGGTAAGGGTGAAGGGATTTAGACATGCTGCTATAGTACCTTCCTAAAGAGGATTCATATTTGGTTTTAGGGATTATGAATAGTTAAAATTTTACGTATATACTGATGTTCTAGGTCACCTTTAGTAAGATAATTTAACAGAAACTCATGCTTGCTGTCTGAAAAAAGTAAGAAATCCTATTGTCCATCATCCCAGCCATAACAGAATGAACTATGTTTTTAATGAACAATATAACATTGGGTAATGTTTGTATGTTAGATTTCAAATGTCTTTACAAGACTAGCATTTACTACTATGTATTCATTTTTCCTTTTATTCCAGTTGAAAGAATTCAGAATCAGTGGGATGAAGTACAAGAACACCTTCAGAACCGGAGGCAACAATTGAATGAAATGTTAAAGGATTCAACACAATGGCTGGAAGCTAAGGAAGAAGCTGAGCAGGTCATAGGACAGGCCAGAGCCAAGCTTGAGCCATGGAAAGAGGGTCCCTATACAATGGATGCAATCCAAAAGAAAATCACAGAAACTAAGGTTAGTATTAAATATACATTTTAAAAATAAAATACTGGTTTACCGTATAAAATTATATCATGGATTAAAATTTAATGATTTTTAATATAAATTTATTAAAGGAAAATTACATTTAAACTAAAATGAACAGTAGACTTTTGAGTCAGAGTAGATATTAGAGGAAAATTGATGGCTAATATCAATCTCAGAATTAATTTTGTTTAATAATCTGGATATCGTGGGCTATTTTTCATATTGCACCATCTTCTAAGATCCCTTCAAAGTTGATGTACATACTTATTTCATAGCATGAAGCCAACTATTTGGGCTTAATTACTTCCTAGGAAAAGTAGCAGGTATACTTCTTACCTTATTTGAGGGCCCTGAATCAAGAAGGAAGGAGGTGGATAAGAATGGTGCATTATCAAGCACAATGGATAAGGTGGATAAGAATCAGGCAGGGATAAGCTATCCTCTCACTTTCTCTTCTCATTCTCTGACCTCCAGCCCAACTCATTCTTTCCCTCCTTGTCTTCCTTCACTTTTTCCTTCTTTTCCCCCCAAAACTTTATCAAATATCTGTCTACTTAAATACTGTAGAACTTCTCAGAATAAAAGAAAGAAAATAAAATTTGTTTAATAACTACATTTTATTAAGCACCATGCATGGTGCTTTAGATGCATTAAATCCTTTCAAACCTGGTATTTATGGGTCAGTTTGGAAAAACCTTAAATGCCAGATGATGTGTACTCCTTAGAGGATCTTAAGCAGAGAAGTAAGGAAGCTGACCAGATTGAGTACTTGATCATAACCCTCTACAGATTTTTTTATCTGGTAGAAAAGGCCTTTTGCTAAACAAGTATCTGAATCTCAAATTGGTTATGTCATCTAAAAAGAAAACCATATAGTTCCTTGGATGAAGTGGCTTCCATTTCTAAATTAATCAGGTTAGACTATGCTAAGCTACAGTAAGAAAAAAACCTGAAATCCTAACAGTTTAATATAATAAAGACAAATTCCTTGGTTATGTCACAGTTCGATAGGGGTTGACAAACCCTTCTTCGGAGCTCTCCCCCAAATGGTTATGTGGGGATCTGGGCTTTAACAATTTTGTGAAACTATCATTTTAAACAAAAGGCTGCCCAAGGCCACTGAAGGGGAGGAAGACAGAATGTGGTCAGTCAATCTATGGGGTTTATAGCCAGGCCTAGAAATTATCTTTATCGCTTCCACCACATCTTACTGACCAGAATTTGTTCCCAGCTTAATTTCAGGAAAAGTAAATGGGATTAGTGAGCTTTTAGCCCATCTTTGCCATAGCTACTTTGCCAAAGGACCTGAGCTGCTATGAGGACACAACTTTCACTTATATGACAAGACCGTTTGAAAGCCACACAGGATTTTCCAGTCTTACCATTAGCTCTGTTGGAGGCAAAATCTAGATGAATGAAAATTTTTTCTTTAACAAGATACTTGCTACCACTAATAATTTTTCCAGTGGATGAGAATAGATGAATTAAGAATTTCTAATGCTTGTCTTCCTAATTTCTGGTCTATGTGAAATATAGAATCCATGTGTTTATCCTTGAAGACTCTGGTCTTATCCATAAGGTACTCAGTATGTTATGGTACTTATTTTTACACTCTATAAATTTAGGATACTATGTATCTAGCAGGTCATGGACCAAAGTGATTAAGTGGTGAGGAATAATTAGCAGGAAAAAAGAGTTTGGGCTGGACCCTTGAGTTAGATGAGGGGAAGGAGAGATGAGAGGCATTCAGTGATAGATTCGATCAGGGCAAGAGGACTCTGGAAGTTGGCAAATGAGAAATAATCTTAACCTAAGAGAATCCTAAAGTTGGCAGGAATGATTAAGGTTTAGTAGCTCTCAGAAGAGCAAAGAACTTTAAATAAGAGACAAGAAGCTGAAAAAGGAAATATAAAAGAAGAAAATAAAACAATTGTATTGTCAAAACAGGTAAGATGTTCTAAACACCTAAAACAAAAACAGGATTCTGTTATAATTACTATCCTTGTCAAACTTTTTAAATAAAAAATAATTGCTTTTGAATAGTCAGTCTAAAACTACATCATAAAAATGGCTCAGCCATTATCTTTACAAACTGTACAAAGTTTGTGTGCTGTGTTTAGGAATTTAATGATATGGCTGCATATTCAATGTAGGTTCATAATACAGATAAAGACAAAGCTGTAATTTACTCATGTATTTCCTGAATGACATATGTTTTTTGTTTGTTTGTTTTTAAAGATGACCGGTAAGGGGATCTTAACCCTTGACTTGGTGTTGTCAGCACCATGCTCTCCCAAGTGAGCTAATCGGCCACCCCTATATAGGGATCTGAACCCGTGGCCTTGGTGTTATCAGCACCACACTCTCCCAAGTGAGCCACGGGCCAGCCCTCTGAATGACATATGTTAAAACTAAAAGTAATCCCATTGCTAATACTAATGTTTAGTGAGTGCTTACTATGTGTCAAAAACTGTGCCGGTCACTTTACATATATTGATGTATTTCATCCTCTCAAAAATCCTCTATGAGAAGTACTCTTACTGTTCCCAGCTTGCAGATAAGAAGACAGATTTCCTCTTCCACCCATTGTTTATGTGGCTAAAACAAATCAAGAAAACACCATGAGGATCTAGAAAAGAGACAATCGTAGTTATCAATTGACAAATAAGATATACTATATTACCGATAAGCCAACAGGTAGAAAATAAAAGCTATAAAAATAGTGTACTGAGGTAGATAGGATATTATCTGATATCATCCACCCCCCACAGATTTTCATGTTATGTTTACTATAAAAAAACTGAAAAGGTAGTTGCAAACTGTGTTACATTTATAGTGGAACTACAATTTTTGATTATTCTAAAAATTAAGGAGCAAGTAAAATGGACATCTGGTCTTTATGTCTATCTTATCACTACTGAGTGATATTAGCTGTTTTATCACAATTTTCTTTTAGGAAGTAAGTGTGGAAATAGACATGAGAAGACATTGGATAATTTAACTCTCTTTGCTCCATAAGTTCTTTCTGGGTCTGTGTGCTTAAGAGTAGCAAGAGAGCCTGTGAGCCTTGGAAGGAAGGCAATTATCAGGCTATGTCCACAGAGGCAGAGAGCTGTGATTACAGCAGCCAGCTTCCACTGCAGCACCATCACTGTTGACTTCCCTGTCACTAATGAGCAAGAATGAAATGGTTTTTCAAAGGCAACCACCAGGACTGTTATACTCTTTTAAAATTTAAACCAGTCACCATATTTGAACCTCAAAAAATCACCCACAATCCTGATATATTAATGATTCATAATTGCTAGTCTTTATCTATATAATCTCTTCCAGTTCTAAACTACATGTATTTTAATTGTCCTCATAATGAAGGTAAAATTTTGAACTCTGATTTTTAAACTTAGTTTTATTGCATAAATAGTTATAACCTTTGCTCCATAACTTTTAATAATTATCATTTTTAATTCTTTATAATATTTCATTAAGTTCCATCTTTAACCATTTCCTTACTGGTTTGGCATTTAGAAACCCTTCTCTTGGTTAGAAAAAGTAGTGGAAAAGAAATGGAAACAACAACCACCCATCACAAAATAAAAATCAAATTTGAGATGGCATCTGGGAAAAGCCTATTTTGAAGTTCAGGGTGGAAGGAGACAGCAACAGGAGAGTCTCTATTTGGCAAAAGAGCAGAGTGCATGTGTTTATTGCATCAGTAATTAATGAGCAGGTCATTAAGAGATGCCCATAATATATTTATAATTTCTTTTTTTGCTATATACCATTATTTTTTTTTGAAAGAAAAATATGAAATTAGAAAGTAGTTGATTTTGTACCTGGTACAACAATAATGTTCTGAGATAAAAAGACAGATGTTACGGAAAAACATACATTTTCATCTTAATCAAAATCCCTGCCAATAGGCTATGACAGAACCCTGAGATATATGATGCCTCTTAGAACTTTCATAAGAGGCAAAAATAGTATGCAATTGGCACCTAAAATTGCCAACAGTGATCATCATGAGATTTATTTCATTTGGCAGAATCTTGGTTTAGTTCACAACCTGTTCCCTAGGCTATTAAGATTGGTCCAAACTTGGCAATGGCTTCTTCGGAAAAATCATTTCTTGATCATTTTAAACTTTCTTTTCCAGTGTCAAGAGAGATTTTCCCAGGCTCAGAGTTTTCATTTATTTTTTCCCCTTTGAGCTTTTGAAAGAGAAATTCCTTTTTTGTCTGCTTTGTGATTGCTTTTGTGTCAAATTCGGCATAAAAGCTTTTCAAACGTGACGGCATTAGCTGTTTTGTGCTTGGCTGAGCTAAGAGTACATGAATTCAATAGAGAAGTGAAAGCTTGTTTGAGCCTAGCTGATTTGGCTATATAATACTTAAAACTATCTGAAGCGAGAAATTCAATAATTTTCAAATTATTGAATAAACATATCCAAGGCTGGAAAATCTCTGTGTTTTGAAGACAGTCTTTAGGGAACTTGAAACATAGATACATTGTAATCATGTAATTAATTTTAAAAGTTGAACTTGTTATATATAGTAACTAGAGTGGCTATTTGAGGATCTCAAATTATTTTACTAGGAAAGAAAGTAAACAGGAAGAACTTCTTTTTCAACCATGGAAGTAGAGTCTTACATTCATAATTATCTGTGGGGGGTGGATGATATCAGATAATATCCTATCTACCATAAATGTATGTACAGTAATGGAAATTACTGAATTCTTCTTTTATATATTTTGTTTATTTTTTAGAGTAACACAAAATTAAATCAGCAAATTGACTCACACTGGTTGTTTGAGGTTTGGATTTCTGGTACAATAATGAAAAGCATTATCAGAAATCTTGCCAGGCTCTACCATTTCTTCATGCATTTTGTTTATTCCCTTTTGTTCTCCCCTAAAGCTTCCACATGATTAAGGAGAAAGAATCAATAACCTAATAGTACTTTTCCTTCTGAAGTATGTATGAGGCTATT